GTACCTACTTGTACCAGGGTTGATACACTGCAGGCAGAGGCCTGAGATCATCTGCCAAATACATTAACAAGGTCTACGCTGCAGAGCTCTTTCTTGCTGCTCCCTTGCAGCCCATACAAGTGCTCATCTACTGTCTTGATGTTAGTTAATTTCTAACAAAACACATACCTGAAGTCTGTATGTTGAATATTTTGCGACAAATTAGGGGTGATAGGGGGGTCAGGAATGTTGGGGTTGTGGTTTTCACTGAATTTTTTTTGTGCACTGTGTGTTCACATTTATTAAACTGTTAGGGTAATGCAGTGTGGTACTGTTAAAAAAGCCCCAAAAATAGATTATTAAACTGTTATGCCATTGTTGTGCACTATTGTGCCAATTTGTACAAAGTAGAAGGCTTTAGTTTTGTTTTTTTTTTTTTTTTTTCTGTAGCTTTTGGTTCTGTTTTGGGCTGCTACTTCCACAGCTCAATTCAGGCATATTGCCACTGGATAAAATGAATCAGGTGTTTCAGCCAAAGCCAACTAAACATCCTTTTTATTATAAGTTTTATAATGATTTAGATAGAATTCTACAGCTGTATTTAAACCCAGCAACAACATAAAATAAAAAATAAAACTAAATTACACATGCAAAATTTGTGAAGCCAGAATATGGTATCACTGTCTGTGATAATCATTGACATCATAATGTTCCCTAAGCATATACAGCTAGATATCATTTTATATCCTTTTCCATCTTTATAAAGTTCCATTACCTTGCTATGCAGTTCTTTTGACAGTTCTTTTCTGCTCCCCATGGTTTCAGTATCTAGCCTGCTCAGTGCATCCATGTGAGAGCTAACAAACTCATTAACTATATATACATAGACACTAATTGCAAATTAAAAAGCCACAGATATGGGAAATTAACTTTTTTTGCCATTTTAACCTGTGTGTATCACCTTGTGTCTGTACCAAGGCCAAACATTACAGGCTATGTAAACTTTTGATCAGGGCCATTTGGGTGATTTCTGTTATCTCTATAAATATAAAAAGGCTGGCACTGGTCAAGGGGGAGGAGCCAGGAGCACAGGCGGTAGGTTCAGGAAGAAGAGGATTGGGGCTGCTCTGTGCCAAACCACTGCACAGAACAGGTAAGTATAACATGTTTGTTACTTAGAAAAAAAATTCAAACCTTTATTACCACTTTAAATATATTATTATTTTTACTTGACCTGCACTAGATTTTGGACTATATCTGTCATCAGTGATTGATTTTGATTGGTTACATCAGCTGCCCACTTGCTGACCATGCACTGTAGCTTTACTGTTCCTGGCTGTGCAAAATCACACATATATATATATATATACAGTTGTGTTCAAAATAATAGCAGTGTGTTGACAAAAGTGCATAAAGCTCAAAATCCTTCTAATAGCTTTTATTTCCATACACACAAATGCATTGGGAACACTACACGTTCTATTCCAAATCAAAACATGAAGAAAAATATATCAAATTTGTGGTGTTCCTCTAAAAAAATTGAAAAAAAAAAAGTGATTATTAGACTGTTCAAAAAAAATAGCATGTGTTTGTATTCTCCTTTACAAACTCAAAACATTCACTATATAAACTGAAAAATGTTTGAAGATTTTGCTTTCCTTTGAATCACTTAATTAATATTTAGTTGTATAAGCACTGTTTCTGAGAACTGCTGTACATCTGTGTTGCATGGAGTCAACCAACTTCTGGCACCTGTGAACAGGTATTCCAGCCCAGGATGATTGGACTACATTCCACAGTTCTTCTCTATTTCTTGGTTTTGCCTCAGAAACTGCATTTTTTATGTCACCCCACAAGTTTTCTATTGGATTAAGATCCGGGGATTGGGTTGGCCACTCCATAACGTCAATCTTCCCAGTTTGAGAAAAATTTTTCCCTTATGAGATGCTTCAAGTCTTTCAAAAGGGGTATGAAGGCCTTTTTTACCCTTTTTGATCTTCCTGGAAGGTATTGTTAGCTGGGGCCTTGAAATTTTGGGTATTCTTTAAACCCTTTTGGGGTTTGGGGAAGTTTTTGGTTTTTTTCCAATTTTCAGGGTTTTTTTTGGGTTTCCAAATTTTAAAAATTTCCCATTATTTTAGCTCAGCAGCCCATCATTTTCCCGCCTTCTTTATATGTTTTCCCCCCTCCCCAAACAAACCCTTTTTTTTTAAAGGTAAGCTGTTTTTTGAAACAATGTTGGAACCGACCCATTTCCCGAATTTTTAGAGAGGAAAAAGCAATGTTTAACCCGATGACAAAAATTTCTGCCCTTTTTCTTAACCCTTCCGGGCGGGCTGTTTATAAACGGCAGGGCGGGGCATTACGGGGGGTTGCCGTCTCTTTAAAAGGACCCTTTTATCTGAGGTCGTGCGCGGCTCCAAAAGGAGCGGGCCCCCAACCCGGGGGAAGGGGGGGGCCCCCCCGGATTTTTAAAAAAACCCGGGAAAAACCCGGTCGGGCCCCCCGGACCCCGGGGGATTTTTTTGGTGGAATGGGGGATTTTTTGGGAAAACCCCCTTTTCCCGGGGGAAATTTAATCGGGGTTTCCCCAAAAAAAAAACCCCAAAAAGGTGGAAAACAAAGGGGGTGGGGTCCAAAAAAAAAAAGGCCCCCAAGGTTTAAAGGGGGGTAAAACAACAAAAAAAAAAAGGGGGGGGTGGGGGGGGGTTTGGGGGTTTCTTCCCCAGGGGGGGGGGGGGGGGGGGAAATTGGGGGTTTTTGGGGGGGGGGGGGATAAAAGGGAAGAAGGGGGGGGTTTTAAAAGGGGGGTAAATGGGCCTCCAAAAAACCTCCCCCCCCCCGGGGAACGGGGTCCGGGGCCTAAAGGGGGGGTTCCCCCGAAAAAAAAAAAACCCCTTTTAAAAAGGGTGGGTCGGGAAAAGGGGCCCTAAAAAATTAAAAAGTGACCTGGATCGGGCCAAAAAATGGCCTGGGGGGTTCCTAAAAGGGGGGGCCAAAAAAAGGGGGGGGTTGGGGGGGCCCCCGGGGTTTGGGGCCGGAATCACCAAAATAAAAGTGGGCCTGGGTTGGGGGTCCCCAAAAACAAAAGGGGGGGGCCCCTTTTTTTTTTTTTTTTTTTTTTTAAAAAAATTTTTTTTTTTCCCCCAACCAAAAAAAAAAGGTTTTCCCTTTTTTATTCCGGGCCTTCCCAAGTGTCCCCCCCATTCCCCCCCCCAAGTGTCATTTCCCCCCGATTGCCAAGTGGGCCCATTGGGTTGCCCCAGTTGCCCATTGCCCAAAGTGGACTGAAATTTGTCCCACCAAAGGTGGTTTTGATGGCCCCCCACCCCTTAAATGGCCCTTTTAATTTTGGCCTTTCCCCCCATGTGTCCAAATTAAATTTGGCCCCCAAAAAGTGTCCCTGATTGCCCCCCAAATGGCCTGATTGCCCCAAGTGGCCCCGATTTCCCCCCCCCCAAGGGGGGCCCCGATCGCCCCCCCAAAGGTTTTTGGCCCCCTGAAATTTCCCCAAAGGGTGTTCCCTTGGCCCCGATTGCCCCCGGGGCCCTGATTGCAAAAAGTGGCCCGATTTGAAACCCAAATGGCAAGAGTGTCCCTGGGTTTGAAAAAGTGGCCCCCATCACCACTTAGTGGCCCAGGCCCCGTTTTTCCCCCGAAAACGGCCAACCCCGTGTCCCCGATGTCACAGTTTTCCCCCCCCCTGAATGGAGGGCCAAAAAAAGTTCTTGAATTTCCCCACAAGGGGGGAAAGAAGTGTCCCTTTATTTTTTTTTTTTTCCCCGGACCCCGCGTGTCCCCGTTTACCCCTTTGTCCCGAAATTTCCCCCACAAGGGGGGTCCCCAGGAGTGTTCCCCGATCGCCCTGTGGCCCCGCAGTTTTCCCTGATCACTGCAAATGTCCTGATTGCGCCCCCACAAGTGGTCCTGATTGCCCACAAGTGTCCCTGATTGCCCACAAGTGGCCCTGATCGCCCAACAAGTGGGCCCAGCAGTGTCCCTGATTGTCAGTGCCCCTGATCACCACATAGTGGCCCAGCAGTGTTCCTGATCGCCACAGTGTCCCTGATCGTCACAGTATCCCTGATCGCTGCAATGGCCAAGCAAGTGTCCTGATTGCCACAACAAGTGGCCCAGAAGTGTCCCTGATTGCCGCAGTGGCCACCGCAACATCCCTGATCACCGCAGTGTCCCTGATTGCCGCACAAGTGGTCCAGCAGTGTCCCTGATCGCCGCAGTGGCCCAGCAGTGTCCCTGATCACCGCAGTGTCCCTGATTGCCGCACAAGTGGTCCAGCAGTGTTCCTGATCGCCACAGTGTCCCTGATTGCCGCACAAGTGGTCCCAGCTAGTGTCCCTGATTGCCGCAGTGTCCCTGATTGCCGCAGTGGCCCAGCAGTGTCCCTGATCGCCACACAAGTGGCCCAGCAGTGTCCCTGATCGCCGCACAAGTAACACCAGCATTGTCCTCGATTGCCGCACAAGTGGGTCCAGCAGTGTCCCTGATCACCACAGTGGCCCAGCAGTGTCCCTGATCACCGCAGTGTCCCTGATTGCCGCACAAGTGGTCCAGCAGTGTCCCTGATCGCCGCAGTGGCCCTGATTGCCGCAGTGGCCCAGCAGTGTCCCTGACCACCACACAAGTGGCCCAGCAGTGTCACGCATTGGCCTGCCAACCAGCATGGTTCCAGCAGTGTTCCTTGATCCCACACAAGTGGCCCAGCAGTGTCCCTGATCACCGCATTGGCCCAGCAGTGTTCCTGATCGCCACACAATTGGCCCAGCAGTGTCCCTGATCCCCACATTGGCCAGCAGTGTTTCCTGATCACCACACAAGTGGCCCAGCAGTGTCCCTGATCGCCCGGATAAGTGGTCCCAGCAGTGCCCCTGATCACCGAAGTGTCCCTGATCACCGCAGTAGTCCAGCAGTGTTTCTGATTGCCACACAAGTGGCCCAGCAGTGTCCTGATCATTGCAGTGGCCCAGCAGTGGTCCCTGATCGCCGCAGAAGTGGTCCAGCAGTGTCCCTGATCGCCGCAGTGTCCCAGCAGTGTCCCTGATCACCGCAGTGTCCCCGATTGCTGCACAAGTGGTCCAGGCAGTGTCCCTGATCACCGCAGTGTCCCTGATTGCCGCAGTGGCCCAGATCACCACACAAGTGACCCAGCAGTGTCCCTGATCACCACACAAGTTGGCCAGCAGTGTCCCTGATCGCCAGACAAGTGGTCCAGCAGTGCCCCTGATCACCGCAGTGTCCCTGATCACTGCAGTTGCCCAGCAGTGTTTCTGATCGCCACACAAGTGGCCCAGCAGTGTCCTGATCATCGCTGTGGCCCAGCAGTGTCCATGGTCCACCCGCACAAGTGGTCCAGCAGTGTCAATGATCGCCACAGTGTCCCTGATTGCCCCAGTGTCCCTGATCGCCCACACAAGTGGGCCCAGCAGTGTCCCTGATCACCGCAGTGGCCCAGCAGTGTCCCTGATCACCATACAGTGGCCCAATCAGTGTCCCTGATCACCTTACAGTGTGCCTGTTCATAAAGTGTCCCTGATTTCTGCCACACCAGTGGATCCTGTTCACTGCCATCGTCTGTGAGGAGAGAGATCCAGTACAGCTAACTGTGAGTAATGTTCAGCCTTTGCACAGAGTTTACACACTGACTCACAAAACATTGCCAGCCACCTCACTGTATCTCTGATTTTTGCCCAACAGTGACTAGTGTGAACCAACTGCAGCCAGATATCTTTCCATCACTGCAACACCATCCTGATCACTGCCATACCAGTGGGGTCCTGATCAGTGTCAAAAATATAGGCCAAAAGATCATATACAAGCGAGGAGGCATTTAAATTCTGAGTATGACAGATGAGAGTGACGGAGAACTTAAAACATACCTTGGGGTGTTTGCTTTCCAAAATGGGGTCTTTTTATGATAATTCCATTGTCCTGATGCTCCAGGACCTCCAAATAACAGCAATAGGTAGTTAAGAAATTAGATGTGCGATCTTTGCCCTTAGAACGCTAACAGGTGCTTATTGGATGCGGAACCCCTCTATGTGGCCAGACTAGTGTGAAAAAGTCTCACACATTTGGTATCACCCATATTCAAGAAGAGTTAGAGAATGTGTTTTGGGGTGTAATTTTAAGTATGTCCTATGCAGTGTATTAGAAATATCTCATAGATTGACAACTTTGTGTAGAAAAAAATACATTTTCATCTTTCTTCCAAAAACGCAAAAAAATTAAGTCTTCAGCTTTTATGCGGAACCCCTCTAAAAACTTGTGGCAAAAAATGAAGTCTTCAGAAAACTCTGCATGCCTCTTAAAACATACCTTGGGGTGTTTGCTTTCCAAAATGGGGTCATTTTGTGGATAATCCATTGCCCTGATGCTCCAGGACCACCAAAACGGCAATAGGTAGTCAAGAAATTAGATGTGTAATATTTTTGCCCTTAGAACGCTAACAGGTGCTTATTGGATGTGGAACCCCTCTATGTGGCCACAGACTGTGAAAAAGTCTCACACATTTGGAATCGCCATATTCAGCAGGAGTTAAAGAATGCGTTTTGAGGTAATCATTTTAAGTATGCCTATGCTGTGTAATAGAAATATCTCATAGAGATTGACAACTTTGCATAAAAAAAACAATTCTTTTCTTTGCATCCAAAAACATTTTCATTTTCTTTTCACATTTTCCAAAAACAAGTGGCAAAAAAATGAAGTCTTCAGAGGACTCCCCATGCCTCTTTAAAACATACCTTGAGGTGTTTTTTCTTTCGAAAATGGGGTCATTTTGTGGGTAATTCAATTGTCCTGGTGCTCCAGGACCTCCGAAAACTGTGATAGACAGTCAAGAAATTAGACGTGTAATTTTTGCCCCTAGAACGCCTAAGGGTGCTTATTGGATGTGGGGCCCTTCTATGTGGTTAGGCTGTGAAAAAGTTTTACACATGTGGTATCGCCATACTTAGGATGATAGCAGAATGTGTTTTGGGGTGTAATTGCAAGTATGCCTATGCCGTGTGAGAGAAAGAACTTGTTTAAATGGACAACTTTGTGGGAAAAAAAAAAAAAAGGAATTTTTTTTACTTTCATCATTTCCTTAAAAAATTGGCAAAAAATGACAACTTCAAAAAACTCCCCATGCCCTCTCATTAAATACCTCAAGACTGTCTACTTTCCAAAAAAGGGGTCGTTTTGGGGGGTATTTGTACTGTTCCTGGCATTTTAGGGCCCCAAGAATTTATATAGTAGTCCGTGCATCAGGATTGGATACATTTTCAAATATATCAAATATATATACCGTGGTCTGTGGACTCTATAACTTTCACAAAGACTAAATAATACACACTGATTTGGGGTTATGTCTACCAACAAAATGTAGCACAATGGATTTTGGCCTAAATTTATGAAGAAAGATATTTTATTTGCAAAATTTAGTATCAAATACTAAGAAAAACATGTTTTTTTTTCAAAATTTTCAGTCTTTTTCATTTTTCTAGCAAAAAAAAAAAACCCCAGTGATGATTAAATACCACCAAATTAAAGCTCTATTTGTTTGAAAAAAATGATAATAATTTCTTTAGATACAGTGTTGTTATGCCTGAGTAATTGTCATTCACAATGTGAGAGCGCCGAAAGCTGAAAATTGGCCTGGACAGGAAGGGGGTAAAAGTGGTCCGGACAGGAAGTGGTTAAATAAATGCAATAATTGCCACCAGTTTTTCAAAGAATGAATGACCTCACTAATAGAACTCCACACTGCTATTACTTTTGAACATGCCTCGTTCAATTAGTGATTCAATTACACAGAATCAGCAGCATGCATTCATGACTGTTGGTCTGTTGGATTTCTATTACTCTACTACACCTACTAGTAAATTATTTGCCATGTAGAAATATCATTTCTACCAAAAACAGTGATTGATCAGCTTAGTGATGTCTGACTGCTATTATTTTGAACACAACTATATATATACACAGTATAAACAGCATGCAGTCAAAACATTACATATAGTTAGGCACACAGTTAACCCTTTGATTGCCCCGGATGTTAACCCCTTCCTGCCCAGTGTCATTAGTACAGTGTCAGTGCATTTCATTAGCACTGATCATTGTATTAGTGTCACTGATCATGTCAGTTACAGTTAGCCAGTGTCAGAATGCCTGCCATGCTATCACAGTCTTGCTATAAGTCACTGGTTGCCGGCACTACTAGTATATAAAAAAAATTCCAGTATATATACTGTCATTTGTAGACGCTATAACTTTCATGCAAACCAATTAATATTCACTTATTGGGATTTTTTTTATCAAAGACATGTAGCAAAATACATTGGCCTACATTTATGAAGAAATTTTATTTTTATTTATGGGATGTGTTTTATAGCAAAAAAAAAAATTCTTTTTTTCAAAATTTTTTGGTTTTTTGCTTATAGCGCACAAAATAAAAAAAAACAGTGGTAATCATATACCACCAAAATAAAGTTCTATTTGTGTGAAAAAAAATATATAAATTTAATTTGTATAGTGTTGTATGATTGTGCAATTTTTATTTAAAGTGGCGCAGTGCCGTATAGCAAAACATTTCCTGGTCATGAAGGAGGGTGGTTATATCTTTCGGAGGGCAAGTGGTTAAACTAGTTGTAAAGTCTATTTATTTTATTTTTTTGCTAAAATATACAAATTTTATACTTACCTGCTCTGTCAAAGTGTTCAAAGAATTACAGGGATTGTAGTGATCTAACTATTTTTTTTTTTATTCTTTATTTTATTTTTAAAAAATAACATTTACAGTGAAAAATAACAAAAATAATACTGCTCATTAACATGAAGGAACATCACAGAAAGTTCAGTTAGGGCAGATCTTGTACACATGAATACTAAAAGCTATGATAACAATACAAGATCTCACTTGAAGGTTGGTTAAGCATGTTAGAAATAAGTAAACATTTTGAAAGCAAAAAAAAATAGTTCATGCAGAGTTGAGAGCTCCAATGTACTCAATTCTGCAAACCCTGTAGGGGTACAAAGACAAAATTGTGCAAAAACTGTCCAATTGAGCTTAAGTAAACAGGAATGGAAAAAAGGAAAGGGAGGGGAAGGGAAAAATGAGATTTAAAAAAACACAACATATAACCTCCAAAATGCCTAACTCCATGTGTCCACCAATATTTTCCAAAGATTGGTACACCCTCCGCTTTAGGATTTAGTTGTCTTGTGTGTCAGGTAGAAGAGATAATTATCTGATATTCTGATCCAAGAGGGGTGACCCAGAGGAAGTGAAAGGGAGAGATTGTGGTCAGATTCTTACTCTAAAATAGTAATACAAACAGACAGATCTCAATACATTAGCTTTGCTTTTACGTAGAGGCAATGTTATATTTGCATACTTATATAAATCAGGAATTATGTTGTACATTTTGTGCCAAATAATCATTCAAATTTTTTTTGCAAACATGGTGTCATTTTTAGTTTTTTTAGAGTTCTATAATTTAAAGTCTCCTATTAGAATATTGTGTTATTTACATTTTAGTTTACGACAGTGGTGATAAGCTTCAAAGTACTGAAATGGGAAAAGCATTGGTCCTAGTTAGCTAGCTCATGCCAACTCTATTTGTGTAAGATTGTTGTAACTGATCCTGACTCACCATGCTTGCCAAGGGGAAGTAGAATGCAGGAAAGGTAAGAAGGTTGCCTTACATCACCCCCTTTGATGCCAACAACTAGTATAAAAATCTTGATACACCTGGTTTCAGAAATGTCCTGGGAGTTCATGCCAAACATTATTATGACATAATTATTTGTGATCAAAGTACAAGCAGCCACTTTTTTCTTATCTAACATTATAACAAGTGCTGATGTCACTAATTTACTAACAGACATGTCAGTCTGGATGTCACGCCACTTCCTCAAACTCAATCTATCCAAAACCAAGCTCATAATATTTACTCTCCCACGTGCCCCCTCCCTGACTTCTCTGTCAAGATCAATGGTACAACTATTAACATGTCCCCGCATCCCAGGGTGCTAGGTGTAATCTTGGACTCCAAACTCTTCTTTCAGCGCCACATCAACCTCCACAACATTCCCCAAATATGCCTCTTCTTAACCAATGACACCATAAAGTTTCTAATTCACTCCCTGATTATCTCTCATCTCAGCTTCATGCCAAAAGCTGTCGGACTATTTTCTACTCTATCCACTTTTGGGCAATCCCTGAAAATTCTTCTTCTCTCCAGAAAAGCCCATCCTGCCTCCACCTAACAGCTGTACTTTTATTTTCTCCATCAGCTCATCCCCCATAGTTATTACTTTTTTTATCACGTGACCCTCCTTTTTAGATTGTAAGCTCTAATGAGCAGGGTCCTCTGATTGCTCTTGTATTGAATTGTATTATAACTGTACTGTCTACCCTTAAGTTATAAAGTGCTGCGCTAAATAAATCTTGTATAATAATATGATGATGTCGCAACAGAGATCACTGCTTCAACATTATGTATTGTAGATGAATTTGAGCAATACCCATAATGTTTTGAATGATCAATCCTTTTTGTGCTAGGTTATTCTTTCTGCAAGAAAGATGAGGAAATAAAATGTGTTCTGACCCCAGGCAAGAAAAAACATAAGCAGTCAAATTATTGTGAAGTGGGCCAACCAAAAGACCCTCCACTTACACACTGTGAATGAAAACATTTACTCTAGAGAAATGCACCCTAAAATGAATAATAGATACTCTGGGGTTTACTGAAGGCAAAAAGACTATTCAAGTTGCAAATAACGTTTAACTTTACGAGGATATTTTTC